GACTATGTATTGTCTGGTAGAAATTTCAGTACATATTAAACAAAATAAATAAAGATAACATAATTTTATATCCATTATTACTATTTTCTTAGTTTTAATCTTTTTTTTCTAATTTTCCCCTATGATCATTTTTTGTATTACATTGGGCAATCCTACTTCCGTAGTGATACTGCCTCGGAAACCCAAGGAGGGGTCGCTATGAGTCGGGGGCAACTCGACGGCAAATAACAACAACAACAACCTCCAGGAACTCTTGTGGTACAGTAGTTAAATGCTCAGCTGCTAACTGAAAGGTCAGTGATTTGAATCCACCAGACACTCAGTGGGAAAAAGACATGGCAATCTACTTCTATAAAGATTTACAGCCTTGGAAACCCTATGAGTAATCTACCCTATCCTTTAGGGTTGTTATGAGTCAGAATCGACTTGACAGCAACAGGTTAATCAGCTTCATCACAGGTCGTGTGTGTGTGTTTAATGAAACTATCTGGAATCTCAAGTACATTTTTCCTTTGATTTCCCATTGAACCCCTCCTTTATTAAAATATTATTAAAACCCTTAAATCTTTTTTAAACAACTTAAGTTGCACTGTAATAGACACTGTACAAAAGCATGAAAACAAGTAAAACAAATATTAATAACTTCTGTTTAAATAATCTATGAGCAGTGAAAAAGAAAAAGGAAAGGATACCATGTATGTCACTGAAAAGGAAGGGAAAAAAAAAAAAAAAGTGGGAGGAAAGAAACAATGAGCTACCAATGAGTCTCCAAGGGGTAGCACCGGTCCAGTAGAGCTTTTTTGCTATACTTTTTTTTTAAAAAAACTGATTATTTCTCAACTTTTTTAAGACTATAATCTTTAATGAGGGTGTAGTAAAATGGGCATTCTAATATAGCTGGTGGAAGTATCAACTGAGACACTATTTTTTATTAAAGGAATTTCACCATATGTATTAAGAGTCTTAAGGATGTTCAGTTAAATGGATGAATCATGGATTTGGAACAGAATCTGGATTCAAAATTCTTATTAGCTCTCTAACCTTAAGAAAATGAATAGCCTCTGTGGTAGTCAAAGATAAACAAGATGAATTAACTGATGATTCTGGGGAAGGGAGACAGGTGGGGATGGGGCAAGAGACAAGTAGAAAACAATTATAATTCAATGTGATACATTCTTAAATACATGTCCATTAAGGGTACTAATTATAACATTTTCTATTCTTTTTACTTATGAAGGTGTCCTCATTTTATTTTAAACTTATTTCTTATCCTAGTCTTGTTCTCCTTTTCACATTACTTTAGGCCCCTAATTACTTTCCATAATAAATTCAGTAACCTGTTTCCCCATGCTTAATGTCTCATACTTTCACTCAACACTTTACCAGATAAATTTTCCTAAAGCACAGTTGTAATTAACTAAAGGACTCAAAGACATCATTCAATGATCCCTCATCAGTTATCTTGAGAATAAAGGATAAAAGGGGCACTAGAGAGACTATTTATTGAGACTAGAACGAGCCAAATATTTTACAACTATCATCTCCCAGTAATTTAGGAATTTTATTATTATTATTGAGGAGCTCCAGTGGCATAGTGGACAAGGCGTTTGGCTACTAACCAGAAGGTCAGTAGTTCAAACCAACCAGCTGCTCCACAGAAGGAAGATGGGGCAATCTACTTCCATAAAGATTTACAGCCTCAGAAACCCAATGGGGGTCGCTATGCGTGAGAATTGACTCGACGGCAGTGAGTTTGGGTTTTATTATTCTCAGGAAACTCCAGTGGCACAATGCTTAAAGCTAACCAAAGGTCGGTGGTTCAAACCCACCAGCCGCTCCACAGGAGAAAGCTGAGGCAGTCTGCTTCTGTAAATATTTATACCTTTGGAAACTCTATGGGGGTCACTATGAGTTGGAATCCATTCAGTGGCAGTGGTTGTGGTTTATTATTATTATTACTTTAGAGAGGAGACAGTAAATATTCTGTGCAGGCAATTAAGTAGTATGCCAACTGGCAAGTGGGAGGCTTAGAATTGAACCTATTTTTGTCACTGGATCATCAGGCTCTACATTCTCTTAGTGTGGCTATTAAAGTCAACAAAGTACTTTCTAATCAGACAACAAGCCTTCTACTAAAGCCATGTGATGTTCAGAGAAAAACAACCAGCACTATTTCTTCTACTTCTATATTACTCTTTATATCATCCCCAATGCCTAGACCTCTAGACCACCATAGTTAAATTTTTAATAATTTGTGCATCTCAAATGCCACTGTCACTTTCCCATGAACCCTACTCTAAAAGCTCAAAATGCATATGGCTTCTGCTTCCTCTGAATTCTTATGGTATTTTAATACTTAAATCATCAATTCACTGTTCAGGTCATGCCAGTAACTATAAATTTCCTGTATCAAGCATTGTGATGTATCCAGGAAAATTAAAAAAAAAAAAAAAAAAAAAAATTACAGAGAGCAAGAGGAACTCTCGTTCATTGCTAGTGGGAATGCAAAATGGTACAGCCACTCTGTAAGATGGTTTCTAAGTTTCTTACAAAGCTAAATGTAAACTCACCAAACAAACCGACAGTTTCACTCAACTGCACCCAAATAAGCTGAAAACATGTCCACACAAAAATCTGCACAAAAAAGGTCATAGCAACTTTACTTGTAATTGCCAAAAACTGGAAGCAACCAAGATGTTCTACAATAGGTAAGTGAATAAAAAACTGTGGTAAACCTACACAATAGATCAGTTTTCAGCAATAAAAAACTAATGACCTATGAAGTCAGGAAAAGACACAAATGAACCTTAAACGTGTATTGCTAAGTCAAAGAAGTCAAACTGGAAAGACTACAGGTATAATTTCAACTATATTACATTCCAGAAAAGGCAAAACTATAGAAACAGCAAGAAGATCAGTGGTTGGAAGGGGTTTGAGAATAAAGAGGAAGAGATGAATAGGTGATGAACAGCGTATTTCTATGGCAGTGAAACTATTCTGTTTGATAATGTAATGGTGAACACATGAAAATGCATTTGTCAAAACCTGTAGAACCATGAAACACAAAGAATGGGCCTTAATGTAAAGTCTAGATTTCAATTAATAATAATTTATCAATAATCATTCATCAATTATAACACATATACCACACTAATGCAAGATGTTAATAAAGGAAACTGTGTGTGTGTATGTCTATGTGTGAGTGTGTGTGGCAGGGGAGGGAGTATATGGGAACTCTGTACTTTGTGTGCAATTTGTATGTAAACCTAAAACCACTCTAAAAATTAAAGTCTAATTTAAAAAAAGAGAAAAAATAAGCATGATTACTCCCTTAGAAAAGCTGTTAGTTTATCCTTCCATGATCTATGGCACATAAGTGACCACCTACAATTTCTGCCTCTGGGATTTAGTGGGAAGCCGTTATCCCACTTTTAGTGTGTACTGCCATTGGTGGAGGCCTGCATAACTACATGAATCTAAAGAAATAGGCCCCATCCCACCAATCCCAATATAAGAGACCCCTCAGGATACAGGTGTCCCACTAATTATATAAAAATCCATATAACCTCAAAAATACTTTTTTCCATTTAATTCAAAATGCTTTTCATCACTGAAAACACACAGTTTAAACACAAAATTCAAAGCAGAAAATAATTCCGTCTTCAAAGGGTTATATCACTTTAGAGCAGTTATCACAGGCTGGCTGACATTCTATTTACCACTTTAGTACCTCATGGGTCCTTCAAAGTTATAATTTGTGAGATAGATCCTGTTTTCTTCACCTGCATGTTTCACTGAGCATCTAACATACTGCCTGATACACCATGGGAACTTAACAAACATTGCTCAATGAGTCAAGGATGGAATCTATGACATAGTCATACATTTTGTATTCTATAACCAACAGCCTTCTAGAAGACAGCTCAATCACTCCGTGTAACTGTTTCATTAACCCAGAGAGTCAGTTAGGTGCCATTTTTCAGTACTCTTCCTAGTACACCCATAATTCCCTATGCTTTATCTTTATTACAGTTAAACATGCCAAACATATACGAATTAAACATAGATATACAGAAACAGAAAAATACAGATAGAGTTAATTACAGATAAGGAAACTGAGGCCCAGAAAAAGTGACATAACTGGGCTGGAGGTCACATTGCTCTTAACTAACAAAAATGGAAGCTGATGGCAAGACAGGATAGAATGGATTCTATCTACTCTGGCACCTATCATAACTCAATGGAAGGTCAGTGCTTCAATAAACACAAAGAAAGCTTATTAATTCACCTAAATCCTGTCTACACAGGATTTTAATGTGTACTTTAAGGTTATTTAGAACACAATGAGATACCTAACATATGTTCTGTATCTTCACATTCTGTACACCTGGTCTCACTTTTTTATTAAAAAAATAAGATTTTAATAGTTTATGTATTTGATATTTACAGAAAAAGAAAAGGGTATTAAGAAGAATAGAGTTTATATAAAGCCATGTTATATTCTCCTTGTGAACAAAGCTTGCCAAAGACATGTTTAATGACCATTTTATAAGTATCTTACTCTTGCAATATTAACTCTAAATAGATTTAATTTCTTGAATTTGGTGGACTATTTTGATTATGTACTATAATTTATTTAAATCATGGGGACAGTTATTTAAATTTAACTTAAAAAAACTTAAGCTAATTATGATAAAATGTTTAAAAAATTTAAATGTAAAATCTCTTCATTGAAAATAAAAAAAAGTTTTAATTATCATGGAATTCTCCAGATAAGTTATTATTCAAAAAGAAAATAGATTAAAGTTTCATGAACTACTCATAATTCTAATAGTGCTGAAACGCTCGATATGTAAAATTCATCTTAAACTATGAATAGGACAAATCATATAGAAGTACTTCAATACAATGTCCCAAGTAAAATTTAATGTATAAAACTAGACAAAAATAAATAATAAAATGGAAGAAATTTATAAATTATCAACATTTAAGTCTCTTACCTAATAATATCCTGTTTTTCTTGATGCCACTTTTTACTTCATCATCAATCAAATCTGCAAGCACCTGACACATTACATCAATTGATTCAAGGTGTTCTGGGCAATCATTAGATATTTTAAATCTGTCAAACCACACATTGGAGAGTCCTCCTTTCATTGGAGTATATGGCCTGTTTATAACAAAAAAAAAAAAAAAAAGAAAAAGGAAAGGAAAAAAAAAAAAAAAAAAAAAAAAAAAAAAAAAAAAAAGAAAAAGGAAAAGGGAAAAGGTTTTGATATTAAAATAAATGCTTTAATTTCCGAGATTACTGTTTTGAATAATTTTAATTCTCTCCAAGCTTTATAAATTAAAAATTTTGCATTAAAAAATAAACTAGTTGCTGTCAAGTGGGCTCTGAGTAATAGAGATTTCAGATTTCATGTGCTCAGAGTAGATCTGTGCTCCATAGGGCTTTCAATTTCTGACTTTACAGAAGTAGATCATCAGAGGTTTCTTCCAAATTGCTTCTGAGTAGACACAAACTTCCAACTTTTTGGTTAGCAGCTGAGCACATTAACAGTTTGCACCACCCAGGGACTGCATTAACACTCTCCCGCTTATAATGTTTCCATTAATATTTACTAATGTTCATAATATTTAGTTATTATGTCATCTTCCAGGATTCATAGGAGCTCTGGTAGCATAGTGCGTAAGGCATTTGACTGCTAACCAGAAGGCTGACGGTTCAAACCCACCAGCCACTCCTTGGAAGGAAGAGTGGGCAATCTACTTCCGTAGAGAGAATGCCTCAGAAACCCAAAGAGGGGTTGCTACAAATTGGATTTGAGTGGACAGCAGTGAGTCTGGTTTTTTTGGTTCCAGGATTCATAAATTCTCTCAAAAAAAAAAAAACACCACCACAATGCCATAGAGTCGGATCTGACTCATAGCGACCCTTCCTTGGGTTTCTGAGGCGGTATCACTATAGAAGTAGATTGCCCAACCTTCCTTCCGAGGAGTGGCTGGTGGGTTTGAACTGCCAGCCTTCTGTTTAGTAGACAAATGCCTTAGGCACTAGGCCACCAGAGCTGGCGAATCTAAATGAACACAGAATTAAATATAATTATGTGCCTGCGTGTGCACGCACATGTGTGTGGGTGTGTTTTCCCCTCCAAATTAAATAACTGATTGATTAATTAGATCTACTATGTTTTTTTTTCTTTTTAATTTCTTTGATTACCTTAATCTTTTAATTTTAATGTGGTAATCAACGTTTCAGTATTGATTTTTTAAAAAACAAACAAACAAACCCACTGCCCATGGGTAGATTCGACTCATAGCGACCCCTCCTTGGGTTTCTGAGGCAGTATCTCTACGGACACTGCCCAGTTTTCCTTCTGAAGAGTGGCTGGTGGGTTTGAACCACCAGCCTTCTGGTTAGCAGTCAAATGCCTTAGGCACTATACCACCATGCAAAAAATGAAAAAAGCAATAGCTAAAGTAGAAAAGTGATTCACCAAAATGTTTTTTAAAGCTGTTAAAAACATAAGTATGAAAGCTAATGTTTAAGAGTTTATGAGTTCTCTTGACTACATCCAGGCAGAGCACCCTTAGAATAGGGGTCTTCGGTTTTGCTTTTGAATTAAGACTTGGAATTTTTACTTTTTTAATCTTTTCAGGATACTTGAAACATCAGAGAGTTTAACAGGTGCAATGATCTTTGAAAGCTCTCACTATATAGGTATTTCATATTATTTTGTCATTTGAGTGCGAGATACTTTATAGATGGTTTAAAAAGGGTATCTTGCTGAACCTACAAGACTGATCTTCCAAGATGCTTTATATTTAAATATGAAGTGAGAGGGTCAAAGTATTACAGATACTTTAACGATTCACTGTCTACGTATTCATGTTCTAGTGCTCTTGGAGGTTCTACCAGTTTAAATATACAATATGACATTCAGAACACTCTGTTTTAACCAGTTACAATGGAGTTAAGGGGTCCTGTGTTGGACTGCAGTCCTGTGTTGATAAACAAAAGGGGAATAGAGAACAAAAATTTTCCAAAAATGAGGGACAGGAGTTTATTAAAAGAAATTGCTTATCATTTGGCAAGTCCTGCTTTCTCCTTACATGTGAGTGAAAAACAGGGTTCATATTATATGAAATAATGTGACAGCAAACCACCCAGTGCCAAAAGTACCCATCCTTATTTGAAAGAAATCTAAAACAATAACAAATAACTTTTTCCTTTCATAACCACACATGCAAGATTCTTCCTAGTTCAATACTTCTACTTTCCCCCATCTCAGATTTAGTTTATACTTTTACCCACCAAAGCCAATGAAGCAATAAAACCTGGAGTGACATTAAAAATAAAAAAATTAAAAAAAAGCAGGCAGGGACCTGAAAGACACTAAAAGTTAAAACATCATTGTACTTTCTTAGATCTCCTCTGGTGGAAAACTAACCCAGCAAACCCTAGGAGGTAGAAATACTAAATTCACATTCTTTTATCCACTTATCAAAAAGACCTCACAGCCTGTGCAGATCTGCCCTTGGGAAATAAATCCAATCATTAGGTGGTGAAGGAACAGGGGAACTACAGCACCAGTTTTCTATATTGATCATAAACCAAACCCACTGCCATTGAGTCGATTCTGATTCACTGTGACTCTAGGACTGAGCAGAACTGTCTCCTATGGTTTCCAAGACTATAAATCTTTACAGAAGCAGACTGCCTCACCTTCCTCCCACGGAGTGGCAGGTGGTTCGAACCAACAACTTATTTGTTTAAAGCCAAATGCTTTAATCACCAGAGTTTCTTATATTAATTGCACCACTTCAAAATTAACGGGCATCCACTTTTGGAGCCTGGAAGTCAAAGGAGTTGTAATTGGAAAGCATCTCACAAAAGCTGAAAGAAACATGAAAATAAGAAAGGTGCTTCTGTTCAAATTTATGAAGAACTCAGAAATAATTTTTATTTACTACAACAGAATCATGTCATAAACATTACTCTGCAGCATGCTTTCTGAAATCTAAATGTATGTGATGGCTATCCCTATGAGTCAGTGTATTTCTGGTCTCCTGGTTAGTTTAAGCTCTTCCCAATCCACAGATTTTCTTCTATGATTTTTGTTTTCATTTTACATTCAAATCTTAAATTTTCCTGTAATTTATTTTATACAAATAGTGGTGCAAAGGTTCAAATTCATTTTCTTTCACATGAACAACCAATTGTGGTTATATTATTCAATAAATAATGAACAAAAACCTTGAAAATATCCTTCTTTCACAAAGATGTAATTCCAGATTTGCTACATATAATTTTCTAGTTCCGCATTATCTAGTCTTTATCAGCATGAGTTCTGTGAGAGAATTAAACCCTAATGCCTAAGACACACACTGTATACAACAAACTCATTTCTCTCCTATGCATCAAGAACATGTAGAATGTTACTAGTTCTGTATTATCCTTGAGAAAACAGTCACTCAAACATTTTTGTGTGTTCTGTGATTCAGGTTAAATCCACCTGAGAAAAGCTCTATTGTGTTCTATAGATCTATTTATATGTGCCAACCTTAATAGCAAATTCACCTCGTTACAGTGACCCCATTATAGTACATTCTGAAATTGAGTAAGGTAAACTCTTCCCTTCCCCTGGATCATCACCCCTAGTCTCTTTTTAAATATTTGTTCTGGCTATTTTTAGGCATCTATTCTTATTTATCCAAGAAATTCATCAAATATTTCTTAAATTTTAAAGTAACTTCAAATAATTCTTAAAAATATTTTTTGAGATTTTAATCTAATATTGCATTATTTCCTAAGAATTAACATTTTTATGACATAAATTTGAAAAGAGGGTAGATTTTTGCAGGCCAAACCCTATCTAGGATCTCCTACATTCTAATATTCATCTACAACTTCTCCTATATTGATGTCCAGGCTCTCAACTAGTACAGAGATCAAATCCTGTACCAGGACTTCTATAAAACCTAAATTCTCCTTTGTTCCCATATGCCTTCCTGACCCCAGCAGCTGTTTGGCTCAAGAGAAGTAGATAAAATGGAATCAGAGGGGAGAAAGGCAGAAAGCATTCAAGCCTCCCACTTTCCAGAATCCTTTCTCAGGATTAACTTTCTTAAAGTAGTCTGAAAATGGAAGCAGGTGCTTTCCACATAGTATTAATGTCATTGTCAGACAAAATGAAATCCAAGACTGTATTCAAATTGTCACTAAAATCACAGTGAACTTTTGAATCAAAAACTGAATAATACAGCACTCACTTTAAACCTTCAATTAGACTGTTACCTTTTTTAATTATTTCTACCTCCCTTTTCATTTCATTCTGCTGTTTCTCTAAGTGTTTATTTGTCTGTCTGAGCACTTAAATAAGGATGATATCATAGGCTAAAATATGAATCATTCTGGGCATTCAGCCATTACCAAAAAAAAAAAAAAAAAAAAAGACATTCACATAACTTTCTATTTCTTTGACAATGCCTTAATTAACTAGAGGTGCATGCTCCATAGTGCCAGAATCTCAATAAAAGTATTTTCTTAATATGGCAACTTTTTATTCTCAATTTTCTAAGAAAATTAAAATTATGTTTAAAAGGTGTAATTGGTAAAATTTAATTTAAAAAGTAGTAATTTAGAACTGTTTTTGTTTTTTCTAGGTCACTTTAATTCTAAGGAAACATAATTAAAAATGCATTAATTGTCCTAGAATGTTGGGACATCTCTAAATAAGTAAAAAAAAAAAAAAAAAAGTGGTTGTTTTTTAAACAGGCAAACAACTAGTACACATATTATATTCATTCACCTTTTCCTATAATAAATCACTTTCTTAGCTGGTATAAAACAGATCAGACATGACCACAATAAACAAATATGTTTGGCAAAGAACATCTGTATGGATCGTAAATCAATCTATAAATCAACCAGTAACACATAGGTAAAATACTAAGCTGGAATAAAACATTCATGCTAAAAAAAAAAAATACAGTTGATATTCAACTTGATACCAAGTTCTACTTTGATCTGTGCTCCCTAAAAGTCAAAAAATCAAAGGTCATTCATAACCTTTAAGATATACAGTGTGGACCTAATCTTCTTCTTTGTCCTCATTCCATCCTACTTTCACCATCTGCAAAAAAGGACAAGGCGGCCACAGGTTCCGACATCCTCTAACCCCACAAAAGGAAGACAAAGTCACCATCAATAACCCAAGGCCTATTCCTATAAGGCCAGACACGCTGCCTCCTTCCAGCCCTTTCACCAACCGTTCCACCCAAAGCACCTACCACCTCTCTCCTAGGTTTGATAATTCACTGCAGTGGCCACACAGAACTCACAGATTATGGGGTTTATTAGGGAAGCACCAGGCTCCAATTCAAGTTCAGGAAGAATGGTCAGTCTCTCTCCCAGCCCACCATCCCTCAGCCAACAGTCTCTCACAGTCTCTCTCCCAGCAGTGCGTGTCCCTCGGTGTCTCACTCAGCAATGCATATCTCTTCTGTCTCTTTCCCAGCAATGTGTGTTCACGCCCAACAGAAATACCCCAGACAACTTTAGCAATCAGGAGCTCCTCAGTTGCTCATGGCAAACTCCACCTTGGAATTTACAAAGACTTATGGGTAGAAAAGCCACACTAAGTAATTTACTACACTGCACCATCATTACCTAGGTTCCAGTCAGAGTGGCCTCTTTTCCTCAAGCAGCATAAGCTCATTATCACTTCAAGGGCTTTACATCTGATATTCCCTGTACTTAGAATGCTTTTCCTTCCCATTACTGCATTATAGACATTTGGTCTCAGGCCAAATGTTATTTCCTCAAAGTAGACTGCTTTGACCCTCCAGTTTAAAGTATGTCTCACTTTGACCCTGTAATAACACACATTTTAACCCATTGTCCTATTGAACTGTCTTAACAGCATTCATCACTATTTTAAATTACTGTATTTCAATTCCCTTCTATTTTTTGTTTATATGTGAGCTCTGAGAGCAGGGACTTTATTTTTTCCACAATGTTATCCCCAGTGCCTAGAACAAGGCCTGACATACAATAAATATTCAATAAATATTTTTTGAACGATGAATCTCAGTAATTATTTGTGCCTCTTAAATAACAAAGTCTAAAATTATTTTATTTACCTTTGATAATGTTAGGGAGCTCTGGTAGCATAGTGGCTACAGCACTTGACTGCTAACCATAAGACTGGCGGTTCAAATCCACCAGCCACTCCTCGGAAGGAAGATGGGGCAATCTACTTCCATAGTGATACTGCCTCGGAAACCCAAGGAGGGGTTGTTATGAGTCGGGTCCGACTCGACAGCACGTAACAACAACAACATGTTTTTACCTTAATTTTAAGGTCAAATCCATACATGATTTCTAGAAGTTCAAATATTTCTTTTGTTGCTTTCAAAGAAAAGTTTTTGAGAAAACATGTCTTTACATACTAAATTGTCTTCACTTGGTACTTAAAATATCTACTGATTAAGAAAGCTAATTCTCACAATAGCTGTTTTTAGTAAAGATCCCTATCAGCTCATCTGCAATACAGCATTCTTATTTGTTACCAGAAACGTTATTTCCTAGTATCTTGCTTCAGATAGAAATACTAACTGATGGAGTAAAAAGGAGCCTATTAACTACACGTACATTTAAAGGAAAAAAAAAAGTCTAAGTCTGTTTTAGAATACAGGTTTAATAAAAAACATATATATGTATGTACTTTATGTGGAAAAACAGTGAATGAAAAAGTAGAGGCATTACGCAAATCTTATATTACTTTTAGGAATTTTCAAAACACAAGAGAAACTATATCATGATATAAATTATAAATGGCTTGTTATAAATGATTTTTTAAATGGAAATTCTAGTAGTAAACTCAAAACAAGAACATTCCAGTATTAAACCCAAAACAACCAAATCTCCATTTGCCTTTACAGAAAACACCACTAAAATATGTCACAGAAATAAAAATCTTTATTGAGTACTTCAATTATAGTGTCCAAATTAAAAAATGAAGCAGTATTTTTCACTTAAATCAACACAGCAAGCAAATTGTTGACTTTTACTTAATATGCTCCAACATAGCTAATTAAAAATATCTATAAAATATAGTTGAGGAAGAAGAACATCTTACAGCCAAAATCTTCACAATTTAATCAAAATGTACTGATAAGCTGTAATAGACCATGGATGGCAATATATAATAGACAATTAATTGGTCTTCTCTTAAGTTCTTAATATCCATAACAAAACAAAACTCACTTTTGTCAAGTCAATTCCAACTCATAGCAACACCTCCTTGGGTTTCCAAGGCCCTATCTCTACGGAAGTAGACTGGCCCATCTTCCTTCCAAAAGTTCTTTATATATTTATATATATATATATATATATATAAATACACACACACACACACACACATATATGTATATATATGTAGCTCTGGTAGCATAGTGCCTAGGGCATTTGACTGCTAACCAGAAGGCTGTCGGTTCAAACCCATCAGCCACTCCTTGGAAGGAAGATGGGGCAATCTACTTCTGCAGTAATACTGCCTCGGAAACCCAAGGAGGGGTTGCTATGAGTCGAGTCCGACTTGATGGCACATAACAACAACAACAACATGTATATATATAAATATATATTACTGCTTAAAACAAAAGCTGTTACACTGGTGGACTTTTCAGTGTATGTGGATGAAAACTACCATGTAACATGGGAAAGGTATGGGACCTATGTGATTGTAGCTTGTAAGCTTCTACATTTTAATTAAATGGTAAAATAATTAATTTTGAGCAGACAGTGCAAGGTTTGATACATATAATCATGAAAGCAACCAAGAAAAAAAAAAGAAATTAAAATGGAGCATTAAAAATATTCAAATAATCCCAAAGGAAGCAGGAAAGGCTAAAAGAGGAACAAAAAACAGCAGACCTAAACTCAAATATATCAAAAGTTATATTAAATATAAATTATCTAAATCTATCACTTAAAAGGCAGTGACTGACTAAGAAAAACCACAGCTCAGGTTGTCTACAGGAAAATCACTTTAAATATGATAAAGATAAGTTAACAGTGAGTGTGTGTGTATAATGTAAACACTAACTGAAAGAAAAGGATTTAAAAATATATGCCATGTAAATATTTAACATAGAAAAGCTGATATATACTATATTGTTATTAAACAAAGCACACTTCAAGGTATTATCAGAGATAAAAAATGAACATTCCAAAATGATATATGTAGGTATAAACGAGGAAGACAAAAATACTAAATGGTTCACATCCACTATTACAGAACTTGGGAGCCCTAGTACCATAGTGCCTAAGGCACTTGACTGCTAACCAGAAGGCTGGGGCGGTTCAAACCCACCAGCCACTCCTTGGAAGGAAGGTTAGGCAAACTACTTCCGTAGAGATACAACCTCAGACACCCAAGGAGGGGTCGCTATAAGTCGGGTCTGACTCAATGGCACATAACAACATTACAGAACTTAAAGATATATAAGGAGAGAACTAAAGAAGTAAAGAAATAAATATACCAAACTACAATCACAGTTGGCGATTTTATTATCTATACTTCAATAAGTGATAGAACAACTTAGAAAATTTGATTAATACTACCAACTTTGAGCTATCTAAAATTTATAGCACACTAACATACACACAAAGGGAGCTCTGGTGACTTAGTGCCTAAGTAATTTGATTTCTAACCAGAAGGCTGGTGGTTCAAACCCACCAGCCACTTCTTGGAAGGAAGGATGGGGAATCTACTTCCATAGTGATGTTGTTGTTGTTGTTAAGTGCCGTCGAGTCGTTTCCGACTCATAGCGACCCCACGCACAGTAGAACGAAACACTGCCCAATCCCGCACCAGCCCCACAATCCCTGCTATACTTGAGCCCATCATCGCAGCCACCGTGTCAATCCATCTCGATGAAGGCCTCCCCCTATTTCGTCCATAGTGATACTGCCTCAGAAACCCAAGGAGGGGTCACTATGAGTCAGATCTGACTCCATGGCAGTGAGTTTGGTTTTGGTTTGGTTATACACACAAACAAAGGAGCCCTGGTAGTACAGCGGTTAAACACTCAGCTGCTAACTGAAATGTTGGCAGTCAGAACCCACCAGCCATTCTGTGGGAGAATGATGTGGCAGTCCACTTCCACAAAGATTTATACAGCACTGGAAACAGTATGGGGGCAGTTCTACTATTTTATAGGATCATTATGAATTGGAATCAACTCGACAGCAATGAGTTTGTTACGTATTATTTTTGGTTATACACAAAAATACACATGGAAGAGTCACCAAGGTAGACCATATGCTAGGTAATAAAACAAGTTCTAATATGTATCAAAAGACTGAAGTAAGAGAATATTTTCTCTGACAACAGTGGGATGAAATTAGAAATCAACAGCAATTAAGATATCTTGAATAGCCTCCAAATATTTAGAAATTAAGCAGCATATTTCTAAGTAAACGATGGTGAAAGTTATGCTCTCCCATTGACACTAAGCAATCTTCCAACTAGAGAAGAAGTAACACTGTGTAACTTCTCGGCTAGGTCTTAAAAGTTAATAGAGCTTCCTCTTGGTTTTCTTTAGGACATTTGCTCTTGGAAGCCAACCTCCATGCTGTCAGGAACCCCAAGATATGAAGAAGACAAAAATACTAAATGGTATACATCCACTATTATAGAGCTTAAAGATATATAGGGAGAGAACTAACAAAGTAAAGAAATAAAAAGACCAATCTACAATCACAGTTGGAGCTTTTAATACCTATCCTTCAGTGGGGTCTCATGTAAGTGTTCCAGTCGAAAATCAAAATAAGGTCCTACCCAGTTTCTAGCATTAACTATCAGACACAGACATGTGAGTGAACCTTTAGATGACTCCAGTCCCTACCAGCTGAATCATGAATGGCTCCAGTTTTCCCAGCAGAGTCCCAGATACTGTAGAGTCATCTGTACTTTGCCTTTTCTGATTTCTCGTTCCACATAATTTGTGACCATAATACAACACTGTTTGAGTAGTTTCTTCCATAGGAATAATAATGAGAGCATGAGGGCAATTAGAAAATATTTCAATATGAATGCTAGAAATATTACAAAAGAGTAAATCAATGGAATTTAGCTAAAGCAGTGCTTAGAAAGAAATTTATAATATTAAGTGTAAGTAGAGTAGCACTGGTGGCACAATGATTAAGGCATTCAGCTGCTAATAAACAGGTCAGCAGTTTGAACCCACCAGCTGCTCTGTAGGAGAAAAGGAAGGTAGTCTGCATCTTTAAAGATTTGTTCTTGTTGTTATATGCCATCTAGTCAGACCCAATTCATAGCAACCCCTCCTTGGGTTTCTAAGGCAGTATCACTACAGAAGTAGATTGTCCAACCTTTTTCCGAGGAGTGGCTAGTGGGTTTGAACCGCCAGCCTTCTGGTTAGCAATCAAGTACCCTAGGCACTACACTACCAGAGCTCCTATTTAAAAATTTATAGCCTTGGAAACCAAAGCGGTAGTTTTACTCTGTCCTAAAGGATTGCTATGAGTCAGAATGTACTCGATGAAATTAGAATGGGTAACTATAAGTAGAGGGAAGGAAATGATAGAAGAAATATAAATGAAATAGAAAACAGACAAAAAATAAAATGACAACACCAAACGTTAGTTCTATGAAAAGACTGACAAGCCCATGGAAAGATGAACTAAGGAAAAAAAAAAAAAAGGACAGAAAACACAAATTTTTAGTATCAGCAATGAAACAAAGGATATCAATACAAATCCTAAAACATTCGAAGGAAATACCATGAATAACTTCATGCCAATAAATTTCACAAATTAGTTAAAAGACACAAATTCTGTGGGAAACACAAATCTGCCATACCCTCACAAATTTAAAATGTGAGTAACTCTGATTCTATGAAAATAAACTGAATTTATTGTTATGTATTTATAAAATTGAATTTATTCAATAAAGTCCAGGTCCAAATGATTTCACTACTGAATTTTATCAAACACTGGAAAGGGAAATAATATCAACAATATCTTTCAGAAAACAGAAGGGAACACTTCCTAACACATTTTAAGATGCCAGCATAACCTTAAGGCTAGCACAAGACAACCTGACAGACACTCCTAAGGAAAAAAGAAAAATTACAAATCAATATCCCCCATACACACACATAAAAATTCTCAAACTCTGTTTAAGAATTTTTAAAAACACTATTAATTATAAGATGCTTAAAAATAAAAGTTTTCTTTTAAATTAACATGAATCTATGGTAGAAATCTAAAATATACTCTAATGGTGACATTTACATGTTTTAAATTGCGTGATAATGATCTCTCCCAATTTAAAGCTTCAGTAGAAACAAACATTTACAGTGGTTAACAGGTGTACAAGAATCCACCTAGCTGACTCCAAATGGGAAGTATGTAGTAAAGACTTTAAGAATTTCATTCACTGCTACAACTCCAATGTTAATGGCTAAAGTCTAATGAACATATAAATATGAAGACAAAATATTTCAAAAAATAAAGATAAAATTAAAATTTAAAATCACAGATAAATTTATCTAAAGCATATTAGAAGATATTCTAACATTTTGTGTTGAATGAACATTTAAAAAAATCTATTACAGATTAACCTCTATTCTTCAAAGCACTAGTTGTAAAATGTTGACACAGAATGATTATATGGGGAGCTTCTAGTTTCAAAGATTCCTGGACTATCCCAAAGATTCTGGTTCAATATTCAGAGGTGGGAACCAAGATACTTCCCCTGCCCCAAAATATCCATTGAATATGAATGGCTGGTAGACACTTTGGATCTACCTGTATCAGAAGTGACATTCATTAAAAATGCAGATTCCCAGGCTCCATCTCAGACTTAATCAAAATCTGTGGGCCTATAACCTAAGAATCTGCATTTAACACATCTTCCAGGTGACTCTTACTGTGCACAGCAGAGTTTGAAAACAACTGTCCTCCAGTTTAAAATTCAATTTTCTAATTAACTGTCAAAGGCCTTCTAATTAGATGCTACTTCATGAAACAGGCTGCCAGTATTTTAAATGTAAAATGCCAAACAAAACATACAGGATGTTCTCTAATACCCTTTTTTCAGATTCTCCAGTCTCACCTATTCTCTGCTCTTTGAATTTCTCTTAAAGTGAATTATTACATTTCCACCAGGGTTCTAGCTCAGGCTTTCATGATAACCAAAGCAGTAGATTCTACCTTTGATTGCAAACTGAAATCAGTAATGAAGCTTTTAAAAATCATTCTGCCTTAGCCACACTCAAAATTGATTAAATCAAACTCTCTGGGGGTGGGCTGTCAGATAAAATACAGAAAATCCAATTAAATTTCTATTTCAGAAAACAAAAAATAATTTTTTAGTGTAAATAACTGGTAACTACAATTCTATTTGCGAAATCTGGCAACTCTACACGCAGACACCTGTAACATCTTTCCCTATGCAGACACCTGTAACATTCTATTCCTGAAATGTATGTAAAGGAGTAAAATCTATTTCCCATTGTGAGTTGGAGATTAAAATGTCTGAAAGCTACCAATATAGATCAAGGGTCAGCAAACTTTCCTGTAAAGGGACAGACAGTAAATAATTTAGACTTTATGGGTACAAGTCTGTGGCAACTACTCAGCTTTTCCTTTGTAAACAAAAGCAGTCACACATAACAAACAAATACGTGTGGCTGTGTTCCAATAAAACTTTATTTATAAAAACACAGTTGACCCCCAACCATAAGTCACTAACCCTGTACTAGACTATCAGATCGTTTTGTTATTCAATATATTCATTGTACTTCTTAGTTTCATCACTGGAATTTGAAAAGTGTACCTTCACCTATAAAAGAATAAAAGTGCTGAACAAAATAGTGCTTGAGAATATAACTGAGCAACACAGCTCTGAAAAATGTCCTCTAGGATTACCAGTGATTAACTCCGTGCGTAATATTTCTACAAACTGCAAAAATGGCATCATTAAAAAAATAAATAAATAAATAGCATTGCTGTCAGGTTGATTCCAATTCATGGTAACTCTATGTGATATAGACTAGAACTGCTCCATGAGGTTTTTCTTGGCTGTAATCTTCCTGGAAGCAGATAATGAGCATTTATTGAGTGCTTACTATATGTCAGACATGACGTAGAGTGATTCTTGTATATTTAATTTTCACAATTCTTTGAGGTAAATACAATCATTACCTCCATTTTACAGTTTAGGAAACTGAGACCCTTAGAGAGGTACAATACCTTACTCATTATCTTATATATTAAGTAGAAAAATCAAAATTCAAATAAAGGTCTGCCAGCTCCAAAGGCTGTGTTCATAGTCATGCTACTATACTAATACCATATAGATTCAAATATCTTACCAAACCGTACTGTATCTCAGGTGTTTCCCTGACCTACAGGTCAAACTGTATCTGAAAGAGATAAATTTGTTATTATATTACTGGTTCTTATTCTACCTCTGTGAGATAAAGTAGAAAGGATCTGAATCCAAAAAGTTAAGGACTGCAACAGATTTTAGAGTTCTGGGCCAATGTGTTCACTTCAGAGATGTGGAAGCCCAGACATGGCAAGTGCTTCACTCATGGTCTTTCCTATTTTTATTAAGAATCTGACAACATATTTCTAGAAGTCTTCTCTTTTGCACTTTTAACTAAGTATCACTTTCTCAAAGATTACCCTTTGTACAGTACATAACAGACTGTTGATTCAGAGTAAGTGTGGAAATAAGTGAATTTATTGTTTATATACTACTATTTATGTCACTAGCTACATATTACATATGCTTTACTCATGATACACTTAAATATAAGTGGCACTTATAAATATAACATAAATGAGACTACATTTGTATTTCCAAAAGCACACATTGATTAAGTTCATAGATGATCAATAGAATAGTAGCCTATACCTGTTTTGGTACTTGTCTGTATTTCTCTTCTCGCTCTTGTATCTTTTGTTGTTGTTGTTGTTGTTATGTGCCGTCGAGTCGGCCCCGACTCATAGCGACCCCTCCTTGGGTTTCCGAGGCAGTATCACTACGGAAGTAGGATTGCCCAACCTTCCTTCTGAGGAGTAGCTGGTGGGTTTGAACCACCAGCCTTCTGGTTAGCAGTCAAGTGCTTTAGCCACTATGCTACCAGAGCTCCTTGTATCTTTTAGAGGCTGTTAAATTATACAGTGAGTGTCTTTTAAGGCAATAGTAAATTTTATAATCAAAAAACTTTATTGTAAAATTAACATACAAGGAAAAAAGTCACAAATCACACATATGTATTACTCTTTCATTACATTCATATACTAAATTAATAAAAAGCCAATTTTGACCATTTAGTGGTCATTTACTTGGTGATGTGGAAAGCACTGGTTACTTGATAACTGACAGCCTTTAGTGAGTTTCAGTGATAAAAGTAGAACTTTTTTTTAAGAGATTAACACTAATAAGTGTTCAGTGAAATGAGTACAATGATATACTGATGGTAATAATAGAAAGTTTTCATTTCTAGAAAATAATTTAGAAAAGTGAATTCTTTATATAAAAAGGAATTGACTTTATGCTCTTAGGGTAAATACATTCTAGGAATTTTTCCTGCAGAAAAATCAGGATCAAGATAAATAAGTATGCACAGTGATAACTGAGGATAGAAACTAAAATGGTCTACAACAGATTTTAAAAAAAAAGACAATATTTTAAAGAATACCTACAGTCATTAAAATACAGTTTTCTAAGACCATTCAGTGAGAAATCTTTAATGGGAAAATCACCAAAACACAATGCTAATTGAAAAAAAGGTAGAATTTATAATTTTATGTGTAGTATGAACCCACATTTGTAAAATTAAATAAAGAAGACACTGAAAAAGGGCAGGGTGACATAACAGTGGTCATCCATTTTTCACAATACTTCTGATAGCTGAAGCTCACATTATTTACCAAAATGTAAAAGATATACAAATCTTTGTTCCTGTAGAATAAGATTTCTTAATCCTGTGTTATTAAGTCACTGCTAATTATTAACATTTAAGGGCATGTGAGGATTGAACCCTGAAAATGAATACCTGAGAGAGGCCAGACAGTAAATAGGAGTCCTAAAACATAACAATCAAACATAATTTAGTGGCAAAAACAAGCAATATTTTTTAGAATAGGAGGTCTACAAATATGAAAACATGTAGAATATATTACATTTAATCAACCATGAAGCTAGGAAAAGTATTATTACCAGCCTCAATATGACATGTGTAATAGAATATTATTGTCTCAGTTTGCAAACACATACTTTTATAATCAGGCTGAGTTTGTAAAATCAGCCCACTGTTTAACTCCGTCAACTGAATGCTTTCAATGCTGTGTGCTTAAGTAACAAATAATAATAGAAAATATGTTAAAACATTAGGAAAATACTATGTACTAAAATTGCAATTAGATATAAGATGAACTAAAATTGCAAAATACCCAGTCAATAGACTGATTTATATTTGACAATTATTTCAGATCTTATCATTTGAAATTACATATAAAGTGGAGTTTGTAATTGCTCTGAGACTCAGAGACAAGTGCATTAAAACTGCATAATTTCTACACTACTAATAAAAACAAAACAAAAAAATGATTTCACAGTAACCTGAAATACATTTTCCAATATTAAAAAATATTAAAACAATCTTTGTTTTTATGTTATTCATAAGATCCCTTAGGACATTTAGAAACTGTTAAGTCAAAAGTTTTACAGCTATTCGAGAGTCAAAATGGAGTCTCACCAGTGAGCAGAACGTTTATTTTTCCCTCTGGCATGTAAGAACTTTAAGAACTAGGTACAACAGTTTGAACTGAGATCTTTGGCACTCTGGACAGCTCACTGCATCAGAGTGCACTAAACACAGAAGAACAGAATTGGAGGAAAGGCACAGGGAGATTTTCTAGGAAAGAGCTACTGCC